GGCAGCAGAGAACTATTGGTGCAATTTATTTTTTTGTGCCAACTACAAGGCTGCAGAAAGGTATTATTTAAAGCATGAGTGCATGACTAATATCATAAGATATATTATAGGTTGTTGAAAATCAATGCAAGAAAGAAAAATTTGAAATTGTATCTTGGAACCAAGTCACATTTACAGGTGATGGTCAAGTATCACTAACTTTTGAGCCACATGATGTTCCTGGTTGGAATAGAAGAAAAGTTGGAATTTCTCAAGACTATGTAAGTTACCATCAAATGTGCCAGATAAAGTAATAACTTTATTACTAGATTTCTACTGAAAATATTGACTACTATCAAAGGATGGGTTGTGAAAATGCTGCAGAAGTGACTGAAGATGAACTTGAACGACTTAAGATGTTAGAAGATATTCTCTCTTATCCTCCTCGTTTCAAAATACAGTTTAAATCAGATACAGTAGTAGAAAGAAGCCAAATAGTGACTGTTCGGTTCAATCAAGTTCACCCTCCAGTAAAAAGCACAATCCTGTTAGAAGGTTCTATAGAATTACCTCCTTCCCCATCTGCAAGTACTAGTGCTAGTGCTAGGTCCAGCATTGATGTAATGACACATGGTAAGTTGGTAATTGCACTTTCATAAAATTTAAAAATCCATTTTAGCAAATGATCCGCTGCTTGGAGACTGTCTATTTATTGTTGCAAGTGAAGGAGATCTAGGGAAAAAATGGTTTGATTTTGGATCTAGATTAGGTCTAACTTATGGTCAGCTTCAAGATATTGAACTGACAGGCATTGATTTCACACGATGTACCAGAAAAGTCATAATTCAATGGAGAGATCAAAATAGGTCAGAATCATGGGAACCTTTAGCAGTAGCTCTTGTTGAAATTGGGTTTGAAGATCTAGCGCACAAAGTCAAAGATAAATTTAATCCACCTTCTGTACTTAAATCAAAACCTGAAGATAAAGAAGATGACTATAAGGGAGTTTATTGTAATCTCTGTAAAAAATATCATCTTAAACCTGAAGACATTCAACAAGTACCAAGTAAGTTGTGCTTCACATTGTTAAATAATGCTATATACTTCATAGACATTGACTCTCCTCCTGATATGGTTGATCTCATTAACTTGGTAGCAGCGAAGATTCCAGACAAGTTTTATCAATTTGGAACAGCAGTTCATTTGAATGATGGGTTCTTAAATAGTCTCTATGACACTTATCATAATCCCATGGATAGATTTATTGCTGTTTTCAATAGATGGAAAGATAATGGTCCTGATGCATACACATGGGGTACTGTCATTAAGGTGCTTGAGTCTGATGCTATTGGAGCTCATGCAGTAGCTCAAGGCGTTATTGAACATCTAAAGCAGAAGTGACAGTCTATGCTTTGAGTTAATTTAATTTTAGTGATTGTGAATTTTTATTACAAATAACACTACTAATATAGTTTGCTGACATTAATATTCTTTATTTGCATGTGAGTAGTTTTTGTAAATTTTTCACACTTGGGTGAAACTAAAATTTGACCAACGCCCACACACAAGACAAAATTTTATAAAAGATTCAAAGATTTAGTGGATATGCAATGTTACAGCACTACGATAAATGAAAATGTAATATATTATGCTTATTTTTTCATAATTACAGTATAATCAATTATTGTGTTTGATCTTGAAACATTGTTTAACTGATAAGCAGTACCTAGTAATAAGGAATAATATTAATGACAACAGATGGTACACGTAATAATCATTATTTACCAGGAGGAATGAGGACATACTCATCAGTACCCACTTCTACTTCTTGGTCTTCCAATACCGCTAAAACTTTTCCTTTCAGAACACGAAACACCTAAAAGGGTAGCATTCTAAAATTCATACAATATGAAGCACTTTAATGCTGGAATTAAAAAATAGATCTTTAGGCAGTGTCCCATAATAAACCATGCACTCTTCTCATAATACCAGAACCAAACCTACATGTAACTTTAACAATAGGAAAAGCCAAAAATGCACATATAAATTTGTACAGTGTACATGCATATATGTACCGTATAGCGGGTATATTTCATCTGGAAAAATGTTCGTTCTAAGCAGGATTAGAAATTTTCGTTTGTTTTATTTTTGTTCTGAGCAGCCATTTTGCATACGTGGCATTGAGGAAATGCCCTTTTTGTTTGGAAAATGTTCGTTCCACAAGGAATGAGAACGAAAAGAAGGAAATTAAACTCAAATGGAATATACCCGCTATACGGTACTTAATTCTTAATTGTAGTCTTCTTATTGATACTATTACATGTACGTGTACATGTACTGCCTGATTGCCTACATAGACTCTTACCATTTCACAGTTCCCATTCTGTGCCATCGGCTTCTCTGATCCTTTCTTTAGCTCCATCTCTCCTTTTTGATAGTCGTCAGTTCCCATCACTCTATTAATGATCAAATCATCTCCAGGCTGTAGATCCATTCCATCTACATTACACAGTTGCCCCTGAGACAGTGGAAACACTACAATACAGAGCACATAATAATAGTATAATCACATTTTATGGGGATTTGAAGAAATAAGGACTAGCATACATATAATTCCCCAAAGGATTGCTAATACCTGTGCCGTAAACTTCAAAAAATTCAAAAATTCCGTAAACTTCTAAAAATTC